TTTTGTGATCAGTCCTTTATCGCTACTTTTGTGTGAGAAAATGTTTTCCCAATTCGTGGGCTGCCCAGACCACCTTTTTTTTTTTTTTTTAAATATTTATTTATGCACACAGATCTGAGGTACAGGCCAGAGATGCAGGGGCCGTGAGAAGATTCACCATAATCAGAGTGGAGAGAAGATCAGGCAAATCAAACGAAGTACACTGCTGAGGGGAGCAGCAGGCGAGACAGGAGAGTTCTGCCACGGCCATGTGGATCACCTGAGGGTTGGGGGGTGGGGTGGGGGGATCGAACTGGCAGCGAAGCTGCTGAGGCCATCTTTATAGTGCTGCGCATTAACCTGCTGCGCCACCAGGGGGGGCCCTGAGACCACCTATTTTTACATCCCAGTCACAAGCTGTGTGACTTTGGGGAAGTTGTTTAACCTATCTGTGCTTTAATTCATTCATATGAAAATTAGATGTAGTACTGCCAACCTTCCATGGACACTGGGAGGATTAAATGAGCTCATAATATGTTTATATAGGTAGGCAAAAATAATTACAATTAATAGAGCAGTACACTTATTTCATTGTCATAATAATGCATTTTATAGATTATAAGAATCAGGCTCTGAAAGGTTAAGTGGATTACTTGAGGTCACACAGTAAATCAGTAACTAGCCTCTATTGGGAGAAGGTAGCATAACAGATGAAAGATTTAAAGCCACACAGTGTCAGCTCTTAAACTTAGTAGGGAAAAAGGGAGATAGAGAAGAAACTACTAGTTCATTCAAGGCAGAATGAAGCCATGTTATATAAGAAGGGTGCAGGTGACATGCTGAGGAAAGCTAGAGAAAGAATCACATTCTCTCTGGGGGTAGTGTGTTTGCTTAGAATTATCCCAGTATCACCAAAGCAGATCAGACACTGTTCCTGGTAGTGAAATATACCAGTTGATTTGTAGTCAGGAAAGTTTGAAGATCTGAGAGTAACAAAGCAACACAGAAGTTGCCTAAAGAAAACTTTGAAAAATGCCTCGGCTTTGGCATTCATAGCCACTCCTACACATTTACAGATGCAGGAGGAAAATAGTGACCTTTTTTCAACAAATGAAGTACTCAGTACCAACGATAATGTGAACAATGTGGTTATTCTAAAGAAAGTTCCCTATCTGCTCAAGAGGATTCAGAATATATATCTTCCTCTGTTCATCTTCAGGTTTGTTACTGTAGAACTCATTGGAACAACTTCTTCTAGAATCAGTTCTCCCATTTTGAAGGCAAAGTTCAGCCTCTTTCTCCTTTTCTCCCCCTGTGCCTCTCCCACATTACCATTTTAGCAAAAATAATTTGCCACCTCTAGCTTGGAATATAGAAATTAAAGTTTTCTTTCCATTCTTGGATGGGATATAGAAAAGCAGTAGAGGAAACTGTGATGAAGTAGATACCTGTGAGTCACTGGAATAAACCCTTTTCAGGTGGTGTTTTCTTGTATTTCTGGCTTAGTCCACAAGAACAGAAGCAATATTATTGTAAAACAGTAAGTTAATTAGACAACTCTGATAGTGTGGAAACTCTAGACTTCATTATGATAGCTGAGAATTCTCAACTAATATATCTTAGGTATAATACCTAATGATATTCTTCAAATTAATTCTTCTAAATCCAAATAAAATCTCCAGTAACTGAGGGAACAAACGTATTATTACACACCTACCGTTTTGTTCTGTGTTGAGAGGGAGGGAGCAAAAATTATAAAATATTATAAAAGAGGGAGATAAATTCCAAAATCATTTAAAAATATCACTAGAAAGATAATACAAAGTCACAAGAAATAACACAAACAAAATGAAACTAGATGCATAAATCTGTGGAACGTGTTATACTGCAAGAGCAATTTGATCCAAAGATGTAGAGGAAGTTATGTTTGTGTTGAGGACTGTCTATAAGTTAAAGAATTGGAGTAAAGAGTTCATTTGGGGGAGTGAATGCCATCACCCCCATCCTCCCTTACAGTGCTTTGGATGCCATCTCCTAGCACAAAAATTAAAAATTAAATGGCATTCATTATGGCTTTCCACACTCATTTCCTTCCTTCATTCAAAGAATCTTTATTTTACATGTGACTACTTCAGGCTAATGGTATGTACAGAGCATCCAGAAAAGAGCAAAATTCATTTTCTGTCCCTAAAGAGAGTTTAGACAGGCAAAGAGATCACAACTATGATATCTCAACTGTGTAATAATGGCTATCAGAGGTGTATATGAACAGGGTATTGAAGAAACTCAGAGCAGAAACATTTCTTTTTTTTT